GTGATCCGGCGGTAGTTGAGTATGTTCATCCTGTCTCCTTTTTTATGCAGCAGGGTTAGCACCCCTTGCCCCAACATTTCCCCCATTTCCCCTGTCAGCCAAACTTCGTCATAGAAACTCATCAGGTCCTCCGAAAGGTGCGGCCACATGGTTTCCCAAAATTCCTTTGGGACACCGTCGATGCCGGTTTTTTTTTCCTCTTCCCTCTGCAGTAGTGCAGTCCAGATCTCGTCTTTACATAGCGGACGATCTATCCTTTCCATTTGCTCTACTAAGAGGCTTTTTTCCATATGGCCCAGACACTCCTCCACTTTTGCTACGTGGCGGGGGTCCTGTGGTTGGGGGATTCGAGATGAGAAAAGAGGTCTTGGTAGAAGGATCTGGCTATCCGTGCACATTGTGCCGTGGTTGTGGGCAGTTCCCCTGATACAGGATCGAGGAGTGCTATTATTAATGTGCGATGGGCTCTGATAGATGCAAAACTAAAAAATTGAAAATCCATTGTGCCATCTGCGGTCCATTTAGTGAGTTTGCCTCTGATTCTAACTCTTTGCCATCTATAATGTGCATGCTGTAAAAGTTGGTCCTTTAGCTGCTGAATGGTATTCGTGTGCTCCGCTGAATTGTCCTGGTTTTACCAGGTTGTGAAGTTGGGTGTGGATCTCCATTTCTTGGGAGTATCGTTGGTTGGCCATCATTTTTGCATAGTCCTTACATTTTTTTGCCAAGAAAAATAACCCATTTGTGAACCAAGGGATTGACGATTCGAACTGGTTTCTTTGGGATTCCGGGTTCCTGCAGTATAGGGTATCCATGTCTTTCCCCATTTCTCCTATTCTTCTTTTTTTAACACATTGTTCCACTTCTTTGAGGACAAATCCAATGTGCACAGAAGCCCATAACATAGCACCTTCGTGAGGCACGTGTGCAGATCCTCCGAGGACCAGAAGGAGCTGGCCTTTATGTGCTGGAGGGGGAGATCCATGAGTGCTGCATGGGTGAACCACTGCAGGTCCGAAGTCTTTTCTCTCTCAAAGAGTATGAACAGGTCTGAGGAAGGCCCATAATATAATTGTCGTGTGTGGGCTTAAACCATGTGTTGGAAACCAGGTGTAAGGATTATCCGTCGAAAAAGCATTCGCGTGTGGCTCGCCAGAGTTGGAAATTTTGGTCACGTCACGTGGTTGTCCAAACGGAAAAGCGATGTGGTTTTGTTTATTTTTATTTTCCTATATCATATTTATATATGAAAAAATCATATATATCAATAAATTATAGTAGATTTCTTCTTTATTGTCTTGTATTTATAAATAAATGCAATAATGAACCTGCAATCGGACGTATGGGGTAATGTAACTGCTAAAGGAATCTCTCATATTACAGGAGGTAATTTTGCTCAGAGTGCTATTACTATTAACGGATGGCTGARAGACTTTTTATGGGCACAAGCATCTCAAGTAATTCAATCTTACGGATCCCCATTATCTGCATATGGATTAATMTTTTTGGGAGCACACTTTGTATGGGCTTTTAGTCTTATGTTTCTATTCAGTGGGCGGCATAGGTGTGGGCTTAAACCACCAGTACCTTTCCCAGCTATTTTTCCAGAGGCGCGGCAGGCAGCGCGGCACACCAGTTGCCTGAGGGTCGGACTGCATAGCCGGGCGAGGTACCGGTGGTTTAACAGCAGAGGTTCAAGAGATCAAATCATGTGCCACTGTGTAAAAGAAGGAAAAAAAAAGAACAAAACAGAACGATTAAAGGCAGGCCTGCCGGGCCTGCCCCCCCCAAAACAAAGAAATGGGGGATGCACAAAATGCATATGGTTCCTTATCCCTACTGGGATCCATGGACACAATCATGTAGACTTAAACCACCACTACCTCTACCACTCTTGGGAAAAATGGGACAACTAGCTGTTTTCCCACTTTTCCCAAACTTCTTGGGGGTTGGACGAGGCTCGGCTGTTGGGCGTTGAGGGCCCCTTCGAAAAACAAAAAGGAAAACACAAGATCATGCCGGAGAAGGCCGTGCACCAAGTTGTACTCACACCAAAATTCACGCGTCCGTACCTAACCGCTATAGTGGCCAGTTTCAGGTTTTCATTGTTTGTATTTTTTGTTTTTGTTCTTTTTGAAGTTTTTTTAGTTTTGGTGCCTCGCCAGGGAGGCACAGCGCAGTCCACGGGCTGACAATTTGTGGAGGAGGGCATGCCCACACTATTACTTCGCAGAATTTATGATCCCACTTTCCCGCCCTAAGATTCAATTTCAATTTTGTCCTCTCCCCCCCCCCCCCCCTCCCCCTCCTCTTCCTCCTTTCGTGGACCTGACACCCTTGCCGTAACACCTTTGGGCATGGAGAAAGAGAGAGAGTCACATAACGTCCACCCACTCACACAACGCCTTTGGGCTAGGTATCTACCAGCGCTCACGTCCAAATGGGTGTTTGTTTTTTCGCTTTTGTTTTTTTTTGGGCTGCGAGTGGGTCGTTTTTTGAAAGTCTGGCCGTGCCTCTGTTTTTTTTTCTTTCAGGAGAGTACAAGAATAGAAACAAAACGGAACCTTTTTCAGGAGAGTACCAGAAAAGAAACAAAACGGAACCCAGGCTCGGCAACACTCGGTGCGCAGTGAAAATCAGGGTCGGCAAAAACAAGCTTGGAGGTAGTGGGGGGTTAAGGCCAGGATTGGGCAGCCTTCGTATGCTGAAGGCTACCATTGGCCTTCGTGTACTCAGGCCACACGGATTGTTTGGGGGTCTGCTGATATGTCGCATCGCCTTGCGACATCAGTGATTGCTCTACTTCTCTCGGCACCACCTTCATGGCGAGGTTTAATCACCAGTTGTTCTTTTTCTTTTTCTTTTTTTCCCTTTTCTAAAAGAACCAAAAAACAAAGGCTTGCCATAAAAAAAATAATAAAAAGATTCCTCGTTGCGAATCTGTGGCAAAGCTATGAACAGATGCAAGTAATCCCGAACGAACAAAAAAAGTACCTAAAAGACTGAATA